GGGTGACCAACCAATCACAGTTAGATGATAGGGTGACCAACCAATCACAGTCAGATGATAGGGTGACCAACTAATCACAGTTAGATGATAGGGTGCCCAACTAATCACAGTTAGATGATAGGGTGACCAACCAATCACAGTTAGATGATAGGGTGACCAACTAATCACAGTTAGATGATAGGATGACCAACCAATCACAGTTAGATAATAGGGTGACCAACCAATCACAGTCAACCATCGCTATCACTATTTGACCGTGTTACATGATGCCTTCTGGAGGCGATGGTTTTTTGTTTTGTTTTTAATTATCGAATGCTGATGATACAATCACAGTTAAATGATAGAATTACCAACCAATCACAGTGAAATGATAAGGTGGGTGACCAACCAATCACAGTGAAATGATAGGGTCGGTGACCAACCAATAACAGTGAAATTCAAGGAAGACCAACCAAATTATAGGGTGGTCACCTTCAATCACAGTCATCAAAGAGGGGACCAACTTATCATAGTCACCCAATCATAGTAAAATGCCTTAGTAACCAGTTGATCACAGATAAATTCATATTAGTTCAATAAAAGTTATATCAATAAGTATTTGTATCTCACTACTTTTAAATCTTTAATTCATATTTAAAATATATTTAACATCTCACTAAAATTACTATATTGGCCACTATTTCTCATTTCTGCACTTACCATAGGTTTTTTTTGAAGAAGTTTAGTTTCTCGTTCATACATATACATGTCAGGTACTGCACGTTGAATCGGTGAAACTGGTTGACCCAACATACCAGGTAAACCATCATCATAGCGTGTATAGTGTTCCACTAGATTTTCCAGTGTTTGAAATAAAGGTCCATCATCTATGTAATACATGTCATCCTATGAATTAAAGTAATAAATGTTAACAGTCTATCCTATAATCATGTTAAATCAATGTAAAAGTACATGGGGGTTGGCAGGATAAGGATTATATTTACATTCTTGGCCACTCAGAGTTGACCATTAGAAAGTGTAGCAAATACTTGATAGAGACAATTATTTACAGCAATTTGAATGTATTATGAAAACAATAAAGTTAAAGTGAAAGAAAACAATGCTTTGATCAGTATCTAAGATATAGATGCATGTTTATGGTCACTCGGAGTGAACATTATTTTTTTGCTTTTTTTACCCAGACAATCTTGGCGAGATAATGTTAAAATTTCAGAGCTTTATCAATGGTAGAACATACTGAAAAACACAATTTTGAAATATAGGGAACCAAGGCATGCGTATGTAATAAAAGTCCCGAAAATTTGTTTATGTTGCTGTTTGATTGACAAGTCACAGCTGATGATATATGCAAATGAGTTGCTGGCCTCAGTATTGTGCGGCGATGTGTGACTTCCTGTTCTGACTCCCTGTCTAATTACCTCAAGTATGGTCAACTAGTCTCACAAACTACTAAAAAACAGACAAGACATAGCAAGGCAAGTGGAATGAAAAAATAAAACATACAGTAGTAAATGATAAATAAACTTGTTCACCCTTATCTCACAAACATGTCAACAACTTTCCAACCTGGAAGTTTTTGCGCAAAACAAGCTTCAAATCTGTCCGCTGTCTGCTGCATGAAAATCGGTCAGAGACATGACAATCGGTCAGAGACATGACAATCGGTCAGAGACATGACAATCGGTCAGAGACATGACAATCGGTCAGAGACATGACAATCGGTCAGAGACATGAAAATCGGTCAGAGACATGACAATCGGTCAGAGACATGACAATCGGTCAGAGACATGACAATCGGTCGGAGACATGACAATCGGTCGGAGACATGACAATCGGTCGGAGACATGACAATCGGTCGGCTACTTGAAAATTGCTTTGCTTCTTGAAAATCACAGTAACACAAATTATTTAATTTTTAAAGAAAACAAAAGGGAAACAGTTGACTATATGCACCCCAGTGGGCTATAGGATGTTGCATTTGTGTCACATACTGTATTTGTTATGATGCACTTTTAAAACTACATAACGGCATGGTGTAAAACTTGTATGTGTATTTACTAAAAATTTGCAACATGTACAATAAGGATTTAAAATTTAAATCGAGAGCAATGACTTGACATAAACAGAAAGCTCTTTAACTTAACATTGAGAAGAAATACCTAAGCTTGATAATATTTCTTGTTCTTATTTTTGCCGTTATTTTAATTATCACTATTGTTCTTTTGCAAAAACATGCATACTTAGTCTAGTATTAATTTTTCGCTGTTATTGTAAATAACATTATTGTTGTTTAGGAATAGATATCCATATTGTTTCGCAATTATAAGTTTATATCACCGATATTTGCACTGGCTTTATGGGCAAGATTTGTTTTCGCTTTCTTTTATAATTTAAAAATCACAAGCTGGTTGTGTGGTGTGCTGATAACAACCTCCAGGTGAATTTGGCCAAAACGAAGGAGATGGTCAATGATTTCTGTTTGAAAAAGACGCCCATCTTTCTATTGGTCATTGACGGCTCGGAGGTGGAGCGCGTTGACTGCATCAAGTTTCTCGGTGTCCACATATTCAGTGACTTGACTTGGTTGGTGCATGTCGGGCACTGCGTCATGAACATCAGTTATGAAGACTGGAGGTTCCTGGACGGTGTGGTGGCGGGCGCATTGCGTATTATTGGGATCCAAATTCCCCCTCTATGCGATGTGTACTGAAAGCAACAACGTCCCAGTCAGCCAAAGGCTTCCACCACATAGCCGTCCAAAGCATGACATCAAATTTATGTAAGAGCCCTAGGTAGTCTTTGTGTGGGAGGGGCTTTATGTGTCGTGCCAAAAAACGCAACCATTGCAATTATTTTAGATAACATATTGTTGGTCTGTGCGATTAGTTTGGTTCTTTCGCCTCAGATTTGACAATCAAACCAATTTTTTTTTTTAAATATTTCATGATCATTAGTACGGTACAACCCGTAGTTTGGAATCATGTGGTATATGGACAACTGTTTCCCTCAGTGCAGTTTTCATGCATTAGTTTGTGACTTTGAGGACGATTTTTCATCTATTTTTCCTCAAATTGTTTTTATTTTTATTTTATTTTTTCACATGATGATTGAACATTGATGGTTGATGTGTAGTGGATTTTGATATTTAGTTGTGATGCAATAGCCATTTTGAGGACGATAAATGTCACTTTCATAAAACAGGCATTATCTCAGTTTGTGTTTTCTGGTTGGTCAGAGAGATTGAAACTTGATTAGTTCTCACAGGTTTTGTCAGTTTGACTTTAAATTTTAACACTATTTGGATGACGTCTTCACAAACAAAACAACGTCTGGGCTTATATTTAAAGTTTTGCATTCTCAGACAATGTCATTTGAAGTGTGAAATACTGACAGGGATTGAATATATGACATCTATATGCCCGGAAACCCATTTGTTAATAAATAACTGATATTGTAAAAGTTTCACTTGAAATGATCACCAAATGTGTGAGCATTTAGATTTGAACGCCGCGTCTTGGGCAAACTGAAAACCACAAGTAGAGATAATTTGCATAACCATTCACTCAGAAAAATTTTTGTTAATGCTAATAATTACAGTTCCAAATTTAAACCTAATTAAATATAGTGCATACTATAGAGATTCCATCATTACTTTTTTTTCACCTTGTTTCTTCATTATTTATTTGCTAAGCATTCGAAAGAAACAATGTTTGTACCTGTTTTCTATATTTTAAAATCGTTTTTTGAGTATGTTCCACTATTTGCAAAGACTGTCTGGGTAATAAAAAGCAAAAAAAAAAAAATTCCCACAAACCTGCTATATATATACCCTAATGCTCCCCAAACTTTCTGATGGTCAACTCCTAAATCAAAGCAAGACTTAATAAACATTCATAGTTAAACTATGTGAATTCTGCAGACAAAATTATTACAAAGAATATACACTCACTTTGTGTACAATCTCAAAATTATAGATTATTTTGAACATGCACATCGTCAATACAGGTATGCCACCTTTATTTTTACTCAGTCTAATTAAGAAGCGGCCATCTTGACGGTGAAATTTTTCCAGCATGTTGCCTGCTTCACTGCGACTCAATTCACCATGCAGCCACTCGCTTGGTGATGTCCTAGCTGGTGGTGGTACATAATCCTCTGAAAGATTGAATATATAACCCTATTAGTAGAAGTCATTTGTTGTGTAAATTGTGTTTTTCTAGTGCAATGCAATGATGAGAACACATTTCTGGATCTCAAATTCCAGCAATCCCTGATATAAAAAAAGATTATTAAATTTGACATGAAATTTTCACATCATTTTCATTGTTAGATTATATTGGAATACATGTGAATGCAATCACTCAAAACGTGTCACTGAATAAAGGCCCTGGCGAATCTAGTAGCCTGAAAATGATGATCTTGAAGAATTTTTACTGGTATGTCTTAATTATAAGTGCATGATATATGTGAGAAGTTTGAATGTGATCGATCTACGTCAGAAATATAGCTCTGAAGCAGCATTTGTGAAAACAAAATGGCCACCAGTCAGTCATTTTAAATTCAATTAAAAAACAAATCATTGTCAATGACATAGACCCCATCCAGTGTTTAATTACTGTGTCAATCAAAAACAATGATAGATGTAGATTATGTTGCAGGTGTGTTCAGCATGTTAATGTGTTACTGAGTACAGTATGAAAATAAAACATGGTCACCAGTCGGACATTTTGGATTGAATTACAATGCAGACGTGCATTAAAACCATCACCAATAATATTCAACCCAACTTTGAATAAAATCCACAATATCCGAGAAATGATTGACATGTTCAAATGTTTTTGGGGACTAAAATGGCCACCAGTTTGTCAGAGTTCAAAATGAAAAACAAATGTACATGTACAACTATACTTTTGCAGAACCTTACTTTGGAATTGAGGGGGCACCCATTTTTCAAGGATAAAATTCATAAAACAGCACAGCATCAAGGCAATTACCTCTGTCCTAATCTACCAATTATTTGCAATTTTGATTACAGAACATTCAATAAACTCATAAGAGGTAGTTGCAAACTTTGACAATTAGATGCTGAATGTTTCAGTTTGTTGGAATGGTTCTTCCTGAATTAATATCGAGCAATAACAATTGCAATGTTATAGTGTAATGACTGGGCATGTTAAATTTATATGTAGTTACTACCAATAATGACTCATTGTGACACTTTGTTTTGCTTTATCCAAGTTTACATGTTTTGTCTTTGTGTAAAGTTTGAATGAGATCAGTCAACAAGTGTCTGAGATATGATTCTTGACAGACAGACAGGCGGGTGAGTGAACGAACCCCAAATTAACAGTCTTCGATTTCAAACTTTGCCGAAACAGGAACTGATAATTGACATGCATCAAAGCCCATGAAGTTCAATGTATGTACCGTACCAAAACAAAATTCTATGATGCACAACCAGGATTCTATTCTGAAATGGCAAAAATGCTTGATTTTGATGCATTTTAGTCATAAATTTACAGCCAGTCAATATGAATTTATTATTAATTATGACAAGATGCTAACTCAAATACATGTATCTATAGCCAATCTCAGTTTTATAGTTTATTTTGTTTCTTTACCAAGAATTGTAACACAGCTTTGCTTTTCATATCTTTCAGCGAGGTCTTTTGGTGTTTTTCCATCACAACTTCTGGGATTACATGGTACGTTCATTGACAGCAAAGTACGAACACATTCAACATGCCCACGCTGAGCTGCTTCATGCAATGGCACCCAGCCTGTAGTTGGATGCCGTTCTGTTGGGTCAGCACCTTTACTTAATAACATCTTACAAGTACTTGGTCTGTTACCAGCACAGGCACACTGTTTAAAATAAAAAAAAAATTCCAGTTCTTACTAGTGATAACTTTTTGTTAATTCCATGAGTCAAGAAAAATTTGGCAGTCAAAATTTCACTGAGGGATAGAGAGACAGAGACAGAGACAGAGACAGAGACAGAGACAGAGACAGAGACAGAGACAGAGACAGAAGTAGAGCGACTTCCAACGGTGTCATAATATGAAGATACCAATCAGTCTACTATCAGTTTGACATCTTCTGTTGAGGTTGGTTTGACCCAACTCGTTCTAATTGCATACAGACCTCCAGGCATGCATAGCAAACCAGGATTGGTGTCACAAGGTGTCTTGATCGTATTTATAAGAAACAAATTTGGCATACGGTTATTGTAATGTATTACGTGTTATGTGACCCATATGTCACCCCTGGAAAAAACTGGATAAATATCTGTGTGATAAATGAACTGGTGTTGTGGACAAATTGACATCACTGTATATAAAAACAGAGACAGCAGGGTTCTGCATTTGTTGTTGCTTGAGATGTTGTCCAACATATGGGTCTACACTTTGCAATTTGGTGTTTAATATCAAAGTCTGAGAGGTCTTAAGTGAAACTGGGAAGGAAGCCTGGCGCTACAGATGCGTAGATAGAGTTCAACGCTTTAATTCATGAACTACAGTCTGATAAACTATGGTTTCAAGTAATTCATGCATGGCATTTCACAAGCTATAAACCTATAATGGTCAATAGGGCCTATAAAGATAACAATTGAGCTAGGTATTTATATGTATTGAGCTATAAACCTATAATGGTCAATAGGGCCTATAAAGATAACAATTGAGCTAGATATTTATATGTATTGAGTTATAAACCTATAATGGTCAATAGGGCCTATAAAGATAACAATTGAGCTAGGTATTTATATGTATTGAGTTATAAACCTATAATGGTCAATAGGGCCTATAAAGATAACAATTGAGCTAGGTATTTATATGTATTGAGTTATAAACCCATAATGGTCAATAGGGCCTATAAAGATAACAATTGAGCTAGGTATGTATATGTATTGAGTTATAAACCCATAATGGTCAATAGGGCCTATAAAGATAACAATTGAGCTAGGTATTTATATGTATTGAGTTATAAACCCATAATGGTCAATAGGGCCTATAAAGATAACAATTGAGGTAGGTATTTATATGTATTGAGTTATAAACCCATAATGGTCAATAGGGCCTATAAAGATAACAATTGAGCTAGGTATTTATATGTATTGAGTTATAAACCCATAATGGTCAATAGGGCCTATAAAGATAACAATTGAGCTAGGTATTTATATGTATTGAGTTATAAACCCATAATGGTCAATAGGGCCTATAAAGATAACAATTGAGCTAGGTATTTATATGTATTGAGTTATAAACCCATAATGGTCAATAGGGCCTATAAAGATAACAATTGAGCTAGGTATTTATATGTATTGAGTTATAAACCTATAATGGTCAAACTGAGGCCAACATCTGCAATAGTCAGTGAGTTATAAAGCTATTAAGGTCAAGGGACTTTTATAAAAAACAGAACAGGTAATAACGTCATGTATTTGAGTTGTAAAGATAGGAAAGAACATATACTTACATGTAATGCAGTAATAAAACTACTACTTTTACTGTTGACATTAGCTCCTGCATCTAGTAACAAGTCTACAATGTCATCACAACCATTGTATGAAGCGATATGGAGGGCAGTTTTCCCTGAAATGTTCCTTGAATCAACAGCAGAATGCTGTGGATCGTTCAATATCATTTGTACACTTGTTACATCTTTTTCAAGAGTGGCTCTAATGAAAAAAAGTTGATGAAATCAAAATGAAAATCAAGTATCTACAGTTTATTGGCTTAACTGTCAACCATTTTAATTTCAAATATTTTGTATACCTGTATTGTTAGCGTAGTATAGTGCGTAGTAAATCATGAAATTCACAGGGTAGGTGGGTTTAATGCCATAAACCATTTTAATTCAAAACTTTTGTAGCAATGAATATTTCATTGGGATCGATAAGACAGTGGGTCACAGTGACTTTTGTAGCAGTGAGCATTTAATTTTTTGCATTTTGGGGTCTTGGAACTATTATATAATATATTTGATGTCTTAATTTGTGCACATTTTAAGGAAAAAAGAAGAAACAAAATTTCTTTTCAATTTCATGCATTTTGTATTCAAATACACCTGAGATGAAAACACAACATGGTCCATGGCTAATAACGGCCAAGTGAATTTCTAATATTTTCTGGAATCTAACATTTTGGTTTTTGGCGTCATTTCAACTGATGAATTGGCGGCAAGAAATCACAATTTAAATTTTGCTGTAGTTATGCTTGTGGTACAAAATCACCCTTTCGAAAATAGGATTTTGAAATGAACGACGAAAATCGAAATCCTATTTTCAATTTGAGGCTTTTCATTTCATTGACACGCTAGAGGATATTGTTATGGGCCCAACGATAATAGATCAAAGGCGAGCAAAATCAACAATGTATCCAGTCAGTTATTTTCCAATGCTTCTTCTACATGATGATTTCATGGGTGACTTACTATGTACACTATAGAACAGTAACATTTTTCATTGTCTGTAACAAAAATTAGTTGTCTGTCTGGAAAAATAAGAGACAGAATAAGAGACGTCGGAATTTATTTTCTGGTATGTTTTATATTTTGAGCTGGCATGTGGAAATGTTCGCATAATTAGACATCAAAAGTAACGAATACAATGTCACGTTCCCGCACGGTGATTGAATAGTCCATTAATCAACCGGTCGTTTGTTCGTCACATGGTTATATTCCAGCCACACCATTTGTTGAAACCTTTTCACTGTCATTATTCAAAAGTGTTATCTCCTTTTCGAAATCGCACTTCAGTGCTTGAAAGTGTTGACTGATATAATATTTTGTAGTCCTGTAATTTTGTTCACAGACAGCCTCATTTACAATGCGGCCCACTTATTAGAGGGTGTATACCACGATGATTACAGAATCATCGCACGCTTCTTTCAGAAATTCCACTATGCTTAGATATTGAGCAACCAACCAGCAATTGATCGGGGGGGGGGGGCACTTAATGCAAATCATATTATGGAGACGTGCCGTCCTTTGGGGGGGGTCGTGAGTTTTAGCTGTTATTTTATAGAATGGGGTATTGATTTGCTTGGTTGTAGTTCCAAACTCCAGTTTGCCTGTCTAGAATGAGGCCTGGGGAGTGGGGTCTGTTTTTTTAATTTCCATATATTTTACGAGTCCTGGTGTTGAGTGGATTCAACCTAGAACTGAATAAATTTACCAAAAATTTGGTCTCTGATGGGATATACAAAATCACTATTTGGTCTATAATGGGGTATGGTTTTGAGGTGAAAATTGTCTATGATGGGGTCTGGGGTTTTACATTCAGGCCCCACACCCCTACTAAACTAACCCCCTCCCTCTCCGGGATTTGATCTCGTCGTGAGAAATCCCCTGTTTGACAAGAACACTGATATACTCAATGTCAACAATTTTTTCGATCACCATTTCAATTAGCAAGGCCATGAATCGGTAAGCATGGCTTTAGTTCCAGCAAATGATGATGTCATGTGCGAAACGAGCATATGGTAATCTATATGAAAATTAAAAAGTAGGGTCAAAACAGAGCTGACTGGTAACATTGTAGTAAGCGCGTTGCTCGGCTTGCAGTCGACTGGAAATGTGGAAATAACTGAAAAAGCCCCCCTAGCGATTCAATAAAACGTCCCAAATTGAAAATAGGATTTTGATTTTCGTCATTCATTTGCAAATTCATAAATTGAAATTACGTCAAAAACCAAAAAGTTAGATTCCAAAAAATATTAGAAAATCACTTGGCCATCATTAGCCAATTAAATTTGCACTGGCATAATACTGTGGAATACTTTACTTTCGCTGGAATTAATTTTCGCTGAAAAGGCTTTTTGGGCGTTTTGTATGGAATTTATTTTCACTGATTTTTGATAAGCTTAATGTGAAATATAGAAAAAAAAGTATATTCGCTGGATTTTATTTTCAGCGAAAATAGCGAAAATAAAGTATTCTACAGTAGTCAAATATATTTAAATCACAGATTAATCTATAAAATATAGAATGTATTAGGAAGTAATTCAAGGAAACGAACTTATATATGAATAAGTGACTACCCTGTAATTAAAACCAACAGGATACAAAAATTTTAAGAGGGTAAAGAGTTGGTAAATTTTCTACAATTTACATTTCATATATATTTTATGTTACTTCCGATCATTGTGCCTTCTTTCTAAGTATCAAAACATCTACAATTATGTTCTATAAATAGAACACGATTCGTGACTCGATTTTTTAACTACGTGGGTGGAATATTCAAGGTATTAGTAGTCAGTATGGGACGCCCCCTTGCTACCAAGTGTGTTAATTATCACCTACTTCCGCATTAGGTCGGTAAAGGAAGCTTCGATTTTTTTTATAAAAGAAACTCTACGACGAAAATAGCGATAATAATATAACAATTTGAGAATATACTGAACATTTTAAGATGTCGTTTTACCTGTGTAAAGGGGTGTTACGGCCGTACCGGCGTAGTTGGGAAGGAGGCTGGGTGCCTTTACAAAATCTCGTCAACTTCGTTGGCAGCCCATTCGCAGCCTGGCTATAATACGTTATCAACTGGTCCAACCCTTGGAATATTGGGCCATCGTCTATTTGAAATAACAAATCAGTGAATCGCTGTATTTGAAAATGTTGAGGTTGTTCGTTATGAATGACCGACAGCACAAAATCCCCCTCGGCAGTGACACTCTCCCGGATTAGATAAAGTCCCTCGGAATTCCCGTTGGTTTCCAGCAGGTGATTGGCAGTATCTCGTGTGATTTTGCCGTGGAACCACATGCTATTGACATCTTGTTCTCGGGCTTCCTTCGCATCCTTCTTCAAGAAATCGGTGACGCTAACTCGTTTGAATATTTCACATAATTCTTGTGTCACGTCCGATATCTGTTTCAACGCCTTTCCTTCTGCGGACAAAACAGTGTCTTCATAGATCGGAGACGGCGGTACGTCGTGTGGCATAAGGCGAGTCCCCGCATTTTTCAATCTGAAGCGAGCTTTGATGCCTCGTAGTAACATTGTCCAAGATTACACTAGCCGAAAAACATTGCTGTAAAGCTTAAACGAGATGTGTGGTGGTCATAACGATCAATTTGTCCGAGGCATGAAACTGTTGAAACTACTTCCTCTAGTCATGTTGATTTTTTTGGTTGTCACGTGTTCGTAGTTCAGAGGTTGCAAAGAGGCGTGGTCGCTCAAATATAGGAAGCTACAACGCGATTAGTTTCACTTCGAGATTTCACCAAAGACATTAGGAAAAGAATGTCTTTGGTGAAACTACTAAAGTTATGTGCTGTTGTGTAAATCAACCGCGGCGCTAAATAATTATGCCCCCCAGAAGTACATTTACCAAAATATTGTTACAAGCTGTAATCAAATGTTTTTATTTTCGTAACAATGTAATTTAAATAAATAAAAAAAACGTAAATTCGTAGACATAGACAAGGTGTAAAATGTAATCACCTATTTTATTTGTCCGTAACTTGTACACAGATATTACTTTTTGTAAGCGTATAAAGTATTTTCCAAATGAAATGTCGTAATTCGTACGCAATTTCCAATTTTAATTCTCGAATACAAGTTATCAAAAAACATTATAAAAATGTAATTAGGAATTTGCTTTATCTGTAAAGTGTAAAAAAAACTATATTTTACTGTAAATGGAACTTTCGTTTTCATTTCCTGTAAATGAGCACTGTGAGCCCATGTCGAAGTGAGAGCTGAGACTCACGAAACAAGTTACTACAAACGATGGGATATACTTAGTCTAGTAAGTCAGACTCTAGATAAATATTCTGGCTGGCGAAGATGTGTACTCCATAGGTGTGGTACACCCTTCGGTTTTGTTTTAATAAAGGCACAGACAAAATTCCTGAAGACAACAGTCTCTGGTCTAAAATCGATTCGCGCACTTTCTCTCCATTTTGCTCACACACCCACCCATTCCTCACAATATGAAAAACGAAAACTTACACGTTTGTGAGATTACTCAAACCACAGTCCCTCTATTCTAACAGTTTTGTAGATATGTAAATACCCCCCGCAAACTTATGTTCACGTTCAATACGATATGAAATACAGTCAACATTTCACGAATTCACATGACTGTGTGAACATTTTGTAAATCACAGTTAATTCAATAGCTAATTCTGGCATTACAAGGATTTCGATATAAACAAACACAATTATAATAAATAAGTTTGACACATACATGTATATGTAATTGGGGGTAAATGCATAGAGTCTGGAAATAAATATAAAAACGTGAATAAATGAAGTCCCGGCTTTTGATACTTTCCCAGCAATATATGATTTGTATTTATTGAATGCTAACAATCCTTCCCGGGGTATTAAAATTGTTACATGAATTCGGGGAAATTCGACCTTTAATTTTTGAGAAAGTTGATCATAAAATGCACTTCCATTGATTTATTTTGTGAATCAAAAAATACCATGTGATACTGGTCATCATATTGGATATGTGTGCTTTGTGACGTAAAATTCTTTTAAAAAACAAAATGACTACGTAAACGAAACCGAAAATTATGTAAGCATTTACATGTTATTTATTAAACCACCAAACTTTATGTAAAATGTGCTGAAATTATATGTTAGCAATTAATCAGCACAAGATATATTGAATTCTGAAAAAAATACATTTATGTCATCAATCTCACAGTGACCCTAGTTCACCTGAATCGTTATAGCGGAAACGTGGTGTATTGTGGGGAGTTACTACACAAACAACATGGCGGACGCCGTAGGTTGGAAGAGAAATCTGAGAAAACAACTCCGACAACGAAACCGAGTGGAATGTGAATATTTTAAAGAACTCATCAACAATCGTAAGTACGGAGATATCGATCGATACATTTTCGAAATGCAATAAATGTTTAAGCGATTGCGCCACACCAGTCCGGCTCAGTCTCTTCAAACTAAATTCTTAGACTGTTATCAACGTTTTTCGTCTTGTCACCGTGTGTCTTACACCTTTTGTAAGACTGTGAATATGTCGACCGTGACGACAAATTACTTGCGAAACCGTAACATTTCTATGGCATTTGCATTTTCGATGTTCAAATGTCAGAGGTCATCTATTAGATCACGTGACACAGTCAGCTGGTGTATAGTCGTTGTGTCGTCACCGGAAGCGCTGTCCCAGCACTAACCTCGAACTCCGCACAGTTTGATACGCGTTACTTATCATCACTGCCCAAAGCAGGGGGGAGTTGCATGACACGATTGGTTGAAATACTCGTCTCATTTGCATAAATTAATATTCATGAGCAATGAAAAACTCGTCTTTTCAGTAAAATTGTGCCAAAATGCTTTCCGATAGCATACATGTTAGTTCTAAATTGATTGATTCTATCGTTACGAGCTGAAAAAATAATCCGAAAAATGATGTAAAGGTAATTTTTGAGACACATTTTCGATCAGACTCCAGCTAACTATTGAAAGTAAACACAGGTTTTCTCTTTACCATGATCATAGCAAGTTATGAAATTCATGGAGAATGCAGAGGCACGTTTATATTTCCTTCTAGTACTATTGCTCAAAATTGCTCAAAATGTTTTCGGTGACTTTTATCAGTGACAAGTTACCTAACTAGTATGCATTTCAATGAACCACAGTGTGTGTGCATGCGCAGTTTGAAATGGAACAGATTTGAACGCAATAAAATCACGGGTAGAACTCAGGCTCCAGCAAGAAATTGTGGCGTCAAACTGATTGTTGGTTGAATTGTTTTGAAATAGACATAATTTTGGAGCCTGTATTTGTCTATGAAATGTTTCTAAGTTTTGTTGAGGATTATTCTGTAAAGGAATGGCTAAAATTATTTTATCTGTTCGTAAACGGGACGTTGTTGCTTGACGATGGACTACGGACGACTGACGTCGAAACGTTCCATTCAGATCAGATGGCGCCCTCTCGTGCCAATTCCCCCCTGGCACAAAACAGCTTTGCATAGAAC